CTCATTAGTTTGCTTTCAAGTTCACAGTTTTGTTTTAGCCAGTCCTTCACAAAAGCCCCCTTTTGCACCATTTGGCACCTCTTCAGGTCATCTCTGTATCTGCATCAGTTCAGACTGCATTCCCACTGACAGTTTAACCTGATCGTCATCATCATCATCATCATCATCATCATCATCATCATCATCATCATCATCATTGCAATGATAATATCATAAGTATCATTACCTAGATGAGGTGCTAACAGTTCCATTAGGAAGGAAATGGAAGGTGAAAACACAGAGGAAGAAGGGGTTGTGATCCTTCAAGGAGATCCAATTCAGAAAGTGAATGGTTCCTCATCTTGGCCCTCTGCTATTGTCCAGAGCCACTGCAATCCTGTGGCCTGGCAGCATGTTGAGAGGTTGAGTCCGTGTCTGCATAAGTTCCAGGCTGCTGTACATCACACTGTCAACCCCACTGAGGTTACCACCAAAGGCCATGTTGATATCTGTGGTCTGTGTTGCCACCTGAAGCCATGTTCATGTCTGAGGGCCCTTGTTCCATTGTTGACCTCAGCTGTTTCTCACACCCGTCACAGCCATCAATCTCCAGTTCTCCCTTTCTCCACAGCACACACACTTTCTCCCATCTTTCGTTCATTATATCAGTAGCTGAGAGGTAGAGCAGGGGGTCAGGGAGGGGTGGGAGGGCAAAGGGGTAGGGAGACAAGAAGTTTGGGGGGTAAGGAGTGGGTCAGTCCAGGCTGGCGTCTGTACTTGTCCATGCTACCCATGTAAGCCCTTTCAAAGTTTTAAAATAACCTTACCATCTCAGGACAGTTGAAGACCTGTTCAATACCATTCTTCGTTATAGGACTGCTTCTTCTTCCCTCTGTCTCACAAAGCCTGACTGGGCAGAGTGCTCCCACTGACTACATGGGAGACACCATGCTGAGTCATTCCAAAGTGTAGAGAGAATGATTAAGAGCTGACCACAAATTATATAAGCAAGAAGAATCTGAGTCAGAATTGGGAATGTCTGCTGCATTCTCACACTGGAGCTTGTGTATAGTATGTATGCACTATAAAATCTCGCAAGTATTTTCAATACAATGGTAATACTGTGCTAGTCTTTACAAAGGAAATTTTAAAATATTCAAATGTTTTGCTTTTAGTGAATGAGGTACAGAAGTGTGTCATTATATTAATATTGAATTTTTGGAATCTAAAGTATACCAAAGGTGCCCTATTGCCAGTTAAAACTAATAGTAACACAAATAATAAGGGATAAGCTTTAATAAGATCTTAGTATAAAATATGAATTTGTATTTTGATTTTGTAATTGTTTTTTGCCTCTCCCATGTTGAAACTTCAATAGCTCACTCTGTATCTTATTATCTTGCTGAGTTTATTTTTGTCTGTGTTTACCTGACATTTTCCCAGTTGCTCCTTGCAGACCACTGGTCTTTAGTTTTTCCACTGGTCCCACGAGCTAAGAGACATCTCTCCCCAGACATTGTAGGCAAAGAAAGCCCACATTCTTACCCATATGACTTATCTACTCCAGGATACTGGGTTAGCTACTTCATGAAATCTCTCCAGTCAACGAAGCAGTGGCATCAAGCCATGATGTAAGTCCTGTAGCCGATAGATGGGCCACACAGCAAGAAGACAGGGAGGTGAGGTACTAAGTAGAATGAATGTCACTTTGTTTTGGACAGGGTCACCACCTTTCTTTAGACACCTTACAAAAATCAAAACCATGTTGGTTAAAGTCTATAAATTGAATTGAAGGGGATCCCTAGTCCAAGTTATTTCAACACAGCAAAAACAGCTAGAAAATGTTGGTAAATTTTTCCTTGGGTCCAAAAACCACTATGACTTAATATTGAGAATATTGTATAAAGAAACAGGGAAATGGGTGTTAATCTCTATAGAGATTTGAGAGATCACTTTTCCCATCTAGATTTACTCTCTTCATCTATAATTGTTGTTCTGAAAAAAATCATTTCTATATTTGTTCAGTCAGTCAGTTGGTATGTAGAAACTCAGAAATTGCTCGTTATGAACCAAATCTTTGGTCAAACTTTGTACATCAAGGCTATAGGTGACAGCTTGCTCCATCTTGATTCTTATAACTTTGTGGGGGCAGGGGCTAGTTACTAGTTATTATTTAGTGTTAATTGGGTGGTGAGTGTAGCAATGAAAGTGTTCACTTTTCTCTTTCATTCGGGAAAGAGGCCTGAATGAGAGAGGAAGGCACAGGAGAAGTGTTCAGGCAATGCTTCTGGAAGATGAGGAAGAAAGGACAAAGTTCCCAATCTGTTGTCCACATAAACAAAAGCAGGAGGGAGTGATTGGAAGAAGGAGAAAGCAGTATCCTAGGAGTGGATAATACGCAGACTCTATGAAGAAAAATATCTGGCACATGCAGACCTTCCAGGAGCTAAAATGATTGGAGTTTTGCAGGTGTTGAGCTGAGAGTGTCTGCACTTGAGTGTGTATGTATGTGTGAGGCAAGAGTGAGTGGAGAAAGTAGAGTATGACTACCTGCAGAGTATAAACATCTCAACTGCACAGCCATGGGGAACCTGAAAAAAGTTTCATAGAAAATCAGTATTTTAAAAGGGTACGTGGAAACTGTGGAGAATAATTTATAGTAAGCAAACTTGGAGACCAGGAGGCCAGTTAGATGTAAGCCAAAAGTTCTTGAACATCAGTGGATAACAGGATCCCCTCATGGTTTATTGAAACAAGAAGGCAAATCTACCAAACCAAGGCTAATGAACAAGAAGGTCTAGATCATGGCCTGAGAAAACACATTTCTGGTATGTGGTCCTGATGCTGTGATCCTGATATTACCTACCCAATAAACAGGCAGAGAAGCACTGTATGACGCAGCATTGATAGTAAATTCAAACTCTACAGTTCTCCCCCAGGGCTTTGCAGGCTTTGCTTCAAAAGCACCTGTCCTGTCATGAATGTATGTTTTATGCAACCTACACATTCTAGCCAGAAGCCTTTTTCTTAACATCATAGATGTTAGTTGATAAATTGGGTTAATTATTGTTATTTGTTTCAATTAAGTTTCTTGTCTATTTCTATTTTATTTTTAATGAAAGTCCTCATGAATTGCTTTTGTAGGAATCTGGAAGTCAAGAAGTGAGACATGTTGCTTCAATTAGTCTAAAATCTATTTCACTGTTGAAATGAAAAGGGCCTGTCTCTCTAAAGAAAAATAAAATTGTGCTGATCACTTTCATTTGCAAGAACCTAAAGAAAAATTTGTTTTTGTTCATTCAAACTTATTTGTTTAAGTTTTATCTCTGAAGTTTTCCTGGGATGTGTTTTATTTGATACACCAGAGAAAATCCTCAAAATTTGCAACAGAATAAAAAGCAGATATGCTACCACACTGACTAAATGCTTTGTCTAAACTGAAATACAATAGAGCAATTGAAGGCTGTCATGTTTGGGCTCAGATTCTAGAAATGAAACCTTGTTGATGGAGGGGAAATCTCATCTGTTTTCTATAGATTAAACACCCAATAGTCCTATTTTGAGCCTAAAACAACAAAAAGGTCACATCATAAGCTATCTACAAATCCAATGATCATGATGCCTTTATTATCCTGTGTATGAAAACAAAATCACCCTAGCAAAGAGAGACTATACCTCATTAGGAAATGTAAGAGCACCATTAACTTGGGAACAAAGTTGCATATCCGTCTCATTATAATTGACAGCAAAGTCCTGTGTTAAATTTTTCATCATGATGACAGTGAATTTGTAAAACCATCAGGCTGTTTATATATCAAGGGTAGATCACTTCAATGCTGAATTATCTTAGCATCACAGAATCTGCTAGTGTTAAGACATGCAAGAAAGATTTTTGTCAAAATAAAGTCAATCTGTAACATTTTTTGTGACCATCTTGTGTTAATTTCTTTCTGGTGACTTCCCAGAGTTTCTCCTTCTATGGCATACCTGCAATACATCAGCAGCTCCTTTATCTCGGTATCTAGGCACTTTCAAAATGCCTAGCCTCATTATGCTTGTCCAGAGTGTCCCAGTTGTGGTTACTAACGTCATAGTTCCTTTGAAAATGCAAGGATATGCCCATGCTTCTGAAAAATGTTGGCCACACACATCTTAGGAGGTTAAATGCAGCCAGCAGAACCAGTGAATGTACTAATGAAGCAGATTCCATCGACTCAGGCATTTTCTCCTTGCATAGTGACTCGGTTTGTGTACTCGAGATGGGTTTCAGCAGGAAGGGATTGCAGCATCCCTGAGCAGTGGGCCATAATTATAATTACAGGTGTGTCACAGACAGCAGGAGAGGGTGAGCTCATAAAAAACAAAGATTTGCTCTGCTGGATCATCTATCTTCACTGGAGAACAAAGAGCATACGAGTAAATAAGCGAGTTACCATGTAAACAAATTGAGCAACCACCAACACACAACAGAGTATATGTTCCTCAGCCAATATATACACTCCTCTCTTACAGGAAGCTGTTGCCTTTGCCTGGTAAAGGTGAGTGCTGCCCTTCTGTTCCCTCCCATCCTTCAGTGGGTGGACAGGGGCCAATTGCATAACAGTAATGGAGTTATGTGCCTCCAGTCTTTCACTATCTCCCCCTACTCCAGTCTGTTTCACAATCATCACAAGAGGACAATGCGAGCATTGACCTTGAATGAGAATGTTCAGGCCTCCTCACTGTATCAGTGAGAAAGAGGACAGCAAATCATTCTTATTCCTTTTAGAGTCCAATTCTAAAATGATAGGCATTGCTTTTGTTTTTCTTGAGACAGCTCTCTTTTAGGCCAACAGCAGATTCATTTGGGTCTTAAGCTAATTGAAGCAACATGCTTTTACTTCTTCACTTTCAGATTTTCATAAAAGCAATTTGCAGGGCTTGGAGCCAGTTTTCTACTGGAAAAGCAAATCAAAGGAGTACAGCAATTATGCAAATGATAAAGAAAAAAATCACTGCAATACAATCTCTTGTTTGCCTACCTTCAGGCAGGGCAATTACACCCCTTTCTCTATTTTCTGCTGTGCCCGCAACAACTGGTTTGCCTGTAGTCTGGGTGGTGAAGGACAGTGCTGAGGTTCTCCAGGGATGGTGTTCTGACACAGCAAGAGGAAGATCCTGAAATGGATTAGAAGTACTGTTGGTTGGCAAGCTTTTGATCTAGTATTTGAAAGTTAAGTAGAACAAAGTTTATGGAGAAAGCTAGAAAGGAGCTTTAAAAGAGTAACAACCATGTTTGCTCTGCTTTAACCCTTTTATTGTTGGGCCTTAACCAAAGTCTTAAAGCAAAAGTTTCCTTCATATCAAAAATTTTCCTTCAGACATAGTGCTGATAACTTGAAGGTGACAACTGCTGAAAGGGGTTGGGGCGTGGCATTTGTTAAAGTAACAGGAAGCTTTACAACATAATGGACTACTCTACTCTTTCTTAGGACCCTGTGTGGGGTTACTGAAAATAGTCAAAGTCGTAGATATGTAATTATCGAATTTTTGTGTTGTAATGCATAGAAAATTGCATTTCAATACCATTTTGCAGATATTAGTTTGGCTATTGGGAACTTGGAGGTCAGAGGAGAAAGTTCAGTGTGTACTAAGTGTGGCTTGATCAAAAAGGGATGACAGGAAGCAGAGCCTTGACTTCATAAGGAAAAGAATGGCTGTATTATCCCTTAGAGGGAGTGGACAAAGTCAAAAGAAAAGGGCAAGGCCCTAGACAGCTATTACAGATTAGAGTCACTGACAGGCTAGCTCCTTTTTGAAGAGACTTCTTGTTGTTTTCCAGCAAACACGAAGCAGCTTTGTGGTTACAATTTGCTTGGATCCATGCAGAAAAGGTCTAAAGCCTGCTCTTAATGAGAAACACTCTTACAAAGCTGGGGCTGAAGTGTATGTCACACAGAGCTACAGGGAGCATAAGATATTCAAGTCTTCTCATGGAGGAGAGAACAGATATAGGCCTTTTACACACACACACACACACACACACACACACACACACACACACACACACATTCTGTTAGTTACCTGATTCCAAGTGGTGAAAACTGGATACCACCCCCCCACGCATGCACACTTATCATTCATCGCTCATCCAGGAGAAAGTAGAAAAAAGTGGAAGAAGGTGTTGGGGAAGAGAACAGAGTATATGAAGGGGCAGGGTGGGGTGGGAAGGGTGGTGAATGTGAGATAAAAGGATAGTGTGGGTGGGAGGCCAAGACTGTGGGACTGGATTCACAGTTAAGGAGGAAGCTGGTGTGGGGTGCCTGTGATCCTCTGCTATGAATCCGATAACATCTGGGATTCACAGGGAATGGCATAGTTTGGCCTGCAGCAGGAAAGGTTGACTTACCAGAGTAATTCTAGAATATGGCATCCATGGTGGTAAAGGATTCAGCAAACTATCCTAGAAGGTCTCAAGAGATAGTTCAGTGGTAGAGCACCTGGCTAGCATCCTGGAGGCTCTGGGTTTAGTAATTAGTGTCAGAGTGGGGGTAGTTCTAGAAGAAGAGGAGGTCTGGATGAGACATAGTATACATTAATTGAAAACAAACAGTAATTAACAGGAAGTATTGCTGATAGAGTTATAATAATATTGCCCAGGGGGAGGTGTTACAAAGGGAAGTATACAAATAGAGTTGTCTTTAATATAAGCACCAGAGAGAATGGCCAAGAGAAAGTGGTTTCATATACCCTCATATGCCATGTTTCTTTTCAAGTGCTTCTTTGCCTGTAAACAGTAAATGCCTTGTGTGTGCAAGTCATTAGTTTTCCAGATGTGAGTGCTTTCACAGGTGTGGGTTTCAATAGACAAATACATGAGTATTTGGGCAGCAGCCCCCTCATTTTCAAAAATCACTAGATTAGAATAAGAGGCAGGTCAGTATCTGGGATGATGCAAGAGTTACTTTGCAACTGTCACTGAGGTCTCACCCACTTGTGAGATTCCTGGAGGCAAAGCCTTATTCTGAACCTTTTCCAGAGGCTACTTTCTCATCATTTTAACTTTTCCTTTATCCCACTCTATTTCTTTGGCCTCAATGCCCTATAAATTTCCATCCAAGGTGAAAAGACATTACAAGCTAAGTACCTATAAACAACTTCTATCCTCTTTCATCAGCAGTGTCTACCTCAACACAGTGAACATGAAGCAAAACAGTCTTCATTGTTTCATGTACCAAGCATTCAGTTATCCTAACCTTTGTGATTCTGCTGTTAGGTGCTGTTGTTGCCATCCAACTTCAGAGCTGAAGGATATGGAGGCACAAAGAAGAGGCATGGTGATAATCTTAAGGGAGAAGGGAGATCTGAGGCTAGCTAGACCCGTACATTTGAGTGTGAGAAGAAAAAAATTCTTTCTAAAGGATAAAATGGAGTGATAATTTTGTTCACTCTCAGCTTAAACTCAGCTCCATTTTCCCTATATCTTCCCCATAGTGAAAAGGTAAGACATTTTAGGAATCAGTGCTTTAAACCAAAGGTGCCTTTATTCTTCTAATTACAACCATTAAGGCCATTAGACCTGAATAATATGTAATATTATTAATATTATTTTAATAATAATCAATATATGATAGCATACTACAACGTAAGAATAATATCTTATACTACTTACATGCTTATGCTGTCTGAGGCTGGGTCCTGTACCAGAGGAAGCCTGCAGAGAATTAAACAGATGCTGTTCTACTCGGGAAGTGCTTGTTTTGCCTTTAGTATTCAAATAATACTGAATTCAAGTGTCAAGAAGCTGGGCCCATTCAGAAAGAGGCAAAACCTTTAGAAATGGGCCATTGGCTTCCTGACTGTAAAAGATATAGAAGGATACCTTTCCATCTGGCTATCTAATGGATCCATAGCAGAGGGAGAAGATACAAACAAATATTTCCATTTGGGTTATGAGATAATTAAGGTCTATTAGAGTTTAATTACTTGTACTAGGTTCCATGAGAAGGCAAACTCAGAATGTCATTATGTACAGTGCAAAGCTTCTCTCTCTTGATGGTTCCTAGGCAATAGCATAAACCTATCTCTTTATGCTCCTGAAGCCACCAGGTTGACTTTCAGATACAGTAACATATTTGTGCTTGGAATCTGAGTCTCTCAGTTTTAAATGAACAATTGCAGGATTGTTGCAGGCTTCCTGCTTCTTCCTGCCTTACTTTGGCTTCCTTGTATGAAAAGTGTTTTACATAAATAACCAATAATTGGAGAGCTGAGATGGGCCATAAAGGACTTTTTATTTCTGCTTTCAGTTTTAAATATGGAAGAATATCTTACAATATTTTTCAAATGATAAAGAAGTTCTTTTAAAAACCAACAAAAAAGACCTCAATGCTATGAATGTCCTGGTCTTTAATAACAGGCTTAGGTGGGTGATGGTAAGAGGCCTTTAGGATATACATAACTAGGTCTTTAAGCTTCATTATTAGCTGGTCCCACAAGATCTGTCATGTTTAATTTGTTTTTCTGGTTAGTCATTGTACAGTTTGGCAGCTTAGTAGAATTTCACATTTTTGGAAACTATAGTGTGAACAAAGATTGAGTTTTTCTTTCTGCTATATGTTATTGTATTTGCTCTGAGTATTCAGAAAATCCACCCTATATCCAGCCAACTACAGTCTGTCCTGTACCAGCCCCAATCTTTTTATCAGGGGTATTGTATTCATGACTTGGACACAGACTTCTCAGACAGAAAGGTATCAAGGAATACATGGTGGTGGTGGTTGAGGGAGCACTGGGATAGTGGAATGGAACACAATGTGCAGGAGCATTCATTCTAAAAGAGATAGATAATTGCTGAGGATGATTTCACAACGGCAAGCCTATAAGGTGTGGTAACTAGCCCCCTCTGTGTGTGGCCACAGGTCAATATGTGATACAAAGCAGATTCATTCTTTAGCATACTGGTTACGAGCAATGAGACATTCGTTCATACAATGTATCTAGCACAGCATAGGCCCTCAGTAAATACTAAGAATCCAAATTTAGGCTTTTAATATGATGTTTTTTTTCCTTAAAGAATTTTTCCAGACCGTCAAAAGAAAACCACTCAGAAAAATAAATCATTTTTCTCTACTTCTAATTTATGCAATTACAGTTCAAGTTGAGTTTTAAAATGTAAAGATGTTTTAAGTTAGCAGCTAACTCAATAACTCACTAGAAACAGAAAACTGTGCTTTGATTTTTTTTTAAAATTTACTCCATAGTTTAGGAAGTCTTTTTCTGTTCTGCCAGTCAGTTCCCAAATCACAACATGGAGGTGACTTACTAATTATGAATACTTGGTCGGTAGCTTAGGCTTGGTTCTAACTAGCTCTCGTAACTTAAATTAGTCCATTTCTGTTAATTTATGTCCTGCCATATGGCACACCTTCGCTTGTTACCTCTCCTCTTGCATATCCTGCTTCCTCTGTGTCTCCTGGCATTTCCTTGTGACTCTTCCCAGCATCCTCTCTGCCCTGAAAGAAAATTTGGTCTGGTTATTGGCCATTTAGCTTTTTATCAAACCAATCCACGATACACATCTTCACAGTGTACAAAAAGATTATTCTACAACACATAGCATTTGAAAGGATAGTTTAATATTGATACTTTTGGTTATATTTAAAATTTAGACTAAGCGTTGTGAGTTTGTGTGTGTTTGAGTGTATGTGTGTGTATGTGTGTGTGTGCCTCTGTGTGTGTGTGTGCCTGTGTGTGTATACCTGTGCATGCACATGCTAAACATGTAGTGCTTGTAGAGCTCAGAGGTTAATACTGGGATGCCTTCCTCAATCATTTCTTGACCTTATATTTTAAGATAAGGTCTCCCAATGAACCGAGAAGAAGTCTGGCCAGTGAGGCATCAGAATCCATCTACCTGTGTCCATCTCTAAAGTACTGGGATTACAAGCTAACATTGCTACATAGGTTGTGCATGTGTGCTGGAGATTCAAATTCAAGCCCTCTTGCTTGTGTAAGCACCATACCAAATAAGACTTCCCTAGCACTAGTGTTGTGAATTTCAGGTTCAAGTCTTTATTTTGAATAAGAAAGTGAATCTGTTCCAAGGAAGCCAGTGTCTCTGTTTCTTGTTTGGCTAATAACCAATCATAGTTTTTGTTTTGTGGGGTCCTTATTTTATTTTGTCTTGTTTGTACTTCCTCTTTCTTCATAGTCAGCTAATATTTGTTGAATTATATGAGGACTTTGAGTGAAAATGAACATGGAAGATACAGTGTATTTATAGCTCAGTGGTAGAGCATTTGATAAACATGGGCAGAGCCATAGACTTAATAGCCAGCAAAACACACACACACACACACACACACACACACACACACAAACACAAACACACACACAATTACTGTGAAACTAATATATTCTGAAATTTTTACATCAGAATAATTTTAATGCTAAACACACAAAGTGTGTTAAATAACTCTTTAGGAATGAGTTTCAGAAGTCTTTCCTAACGCCTGATATTTCAAGACCTATTCAAGACCTCAGGTGCCATCATTAGTTGAAGAGTCACCAACTCAGAGACCTAAGGGATTTAGCATCCATTTCAAATTGGTCATATATCCTAGGGTCTCAGAAACAGCTCAAATGTTTCTGAGAAGGCTAACCTTAAGTCTTTTCTTGATTGCCTTGAAGATCCAAAATAATCAGACCTTATTGATTTATAGCCACTTCGGAATCCCTGTCCATCATATAGATGAGCAACCTCCTATAGAGAAATCTTCAGAAGGAGACTGAAAGTGACCTGAAATTATGTATTAGAGTTGAATAGAAGTTAGGCTAGGCAAGGTATGTGTAAGGAGTTAGCTGATGTCTCCGTGCTAACAAATACACATTTGGCTGTCCAATAGAAATTAATCTCTAATAGTAAGCCTTGTATATTTAATATTATCATTAAGAAAAGGCACTGCTATCTATGTCTTGAAACCAGTGGGGAAAGGTAGCATTTTCAGCCTCATGTGCACCTCAGATTACTAACTACACTCTGCATTATCAACAAACTTCTCAAGATTTCTGCAACTTTTTTTTAAATTCTGAATATCTGTATTTTCCCCAAAAGTATTTAAGATAGCTTATAAAATATAACAGATGTATTTCTTTGTATATATTTATGTTTATACGTATTTCAAGGCTCAGGACCCCAAAGCAGGATGTTTCTATGTTGCTTCTTTACTTCCACAGGAGGGACATGTGCAGTAACACAATCAACAAAAGAGTAGCAGAGATGCTTTGCTTTGTGTTGACTACACCGGCGTTTCCAGCACAGTCATCATCTGGAGGTATCTGCTACCTGAAACTGGGCAGAGCTGCCAGACCAGCCACAGGCAACACCACACACCCAAGAGTGTTGTCAGATGCTCTTGATGTCACCACCTTTGGGTGTTCTCCAAGGAGCAATGCTACCCAGAGGTACGAGTCTGAGCAATAATGGTTAGGTGTCACCTTCTTCTGGGAAATAAGATCATTAAGAGTCTACTTTTGTGCCATTATTTACAGACAAGATGGGAAATAATAACCCTTAAACTGGACCACACTGGGTCTGGATAACATTTGACTTTTTAAATTTCTGCTGCTTAGCATGTGAGATTACACTTTGGATGTATTTCAAGGATACACAGCCAACTTGGCTTTGACACTCAGAGTCTTATGGGCCAACCTGGACCCCTTCAGAAAGTGATTAGCATTATACAGTCTGAAATTTTCAGGGCCTTGTCTTCCCAAGTCCTTTTTCCTTCACCAATATGTTGCTTGTGTTCACAGCTTATTGGTGCCAACAGAAAAGTTGGCTGGTAAGTCAGGAAGAACACAATCAGTCCTAACTGAAGCTTGCTAGTCACACAGTTGAAAGATTTGTTATGGGAGGAAGTCGGTTTTCAAGTGAATGTCAACTAAGTGTTAGTTTTATTAATCTATAACATATTTGATATAATTTACCAAAGAGCGCATCCTACTATGTTCCCTCATTATAAATGTGTCCAAGTTAACCTCTTCTATAACAAGCTATTAACAAAGCTAAATCCCTCCAGCTCGCCCTGCACTATCCTGACTATATTTTGCATGAAACCTTTTCCACTCACAGTGTAAAGGTAGCATTCCCTTCACATATGTCCTCTACACAGTTCTTCTGATTCTGGATGCTTCTACTAGGGATAGACTGAATGGTTCCACATTCTTAAAATGTATGTACTGAAACATGATCCTGAGTAAAGAAGGTATTAGGAGGTTGGGCCTTTGGAGTGGAGCCCTCCTGACTGTGCTTAGCACAGAGAGCTGCTACCTTGCTGCTTTCACTAATGAAAGACAGACAAAAGGTGTATGATAGACCTCTACCAGACTCCAAGTTTTCTGTCATGTTAATCTTCCATTTTCCAGTTGCAAGGAATTTCTTGTGTTTATAAGTTGCCCAGTTATGGCACTTTATTACAAATGTCCAAGTGTATTAAGACAAGTTCCTTTTGATTGAGGCAATAACTACTTGCAAATGATGCCTCTCTTGCTGTTTCTCTTTCTGGATCCATTATCTATTATCTATCTATCATCTTTTATATCACTCATCTATCATCTGACTAGTCTCAACTGTCAAATTTTAGATTTCCAAATTTCCATTCTTTTCTAGTAGTCATTGTCACCTAGATAGCTCACTGGCTTCTAAAATGTCCATAGCTGCTGTGTTGAGTTTTTATCTTTTCTTTTTCATTGTCTCTTCATATTCTCTTCCACTATTTGATTTCATCAGAATTTGATTTCAAACTTCATCAGAAGTCCATCTTACATTCCTTAGCTCATTTGTCTTGACTGTTTAGATTTTCCAGTAAACACTTATTTTCTTTTCTCCATTCCTACAGTTACCACCTTACTCCTAGTCTTTCTCATCTCTTGCTGAGATTGATGTAGATTGATGTAGTGGTTCTAAACTGCTCTTTCTCCCTCCAAAATGTAATCTGAAAGATACAACTAAAATATAAACATGACCCATGCTGCCACATAAGTCTCTTGAATGCTTTCACCAACTACATATCTGGAAGCATTTAAAATGCCCAGTATGCAAAGGATTCTCCACAAACTGCAACACATTTTGCTTTTCCCAACACTCTCCCATATTCTAAGCTTCCTGCAAAGTTGCTTATTGTTCATTGTACCTGTAAGCCTTTTCTTTTCTTTTTTTCAGTGTGATCTCATATTCTTTGATAGGCTTTTCATTTCTGTTTACCAGTAACAATGCATTCTTTAAGGCTCAGGCCTAGTATTTTATGTGTTAGGAATTTGTCATCAAAATCTCTAAAGCAATATTACTCTTTGCTAGTGATTTTGTAATAACATGCCCACAAATAGTATAGTGTTACATAAAAATTTTATAAAACTTGAGGTTATCTGTCTCCATCACTTTTTGTATTAATGAACACCATATTGCTTTCCTAATATCACAAGAAGATAAGCACTGAGCAATGTCATTGACTCTTATAGTGCTGACTGTCATTTAAGTTCCAGTATTTAATATATAATTGCTAGATCCTACTGTCCCATACAAATTCTGCCTTAGTGCTGTCTACTTATGTTTCCTTAAGAATTGGAGAGTATAACAAACCTTTACACATTTATAATACTAATTCTTGCAAGTGTTGGCTCCTCCTTCTTAGATGGCTAGGCCTTTTCAAAAACTCTTAAGTTTTATTTCTTATTTAAAAACACTTTGCGTTCTCTATCACCATGGAGACCACTGTGAAAAAGAAAAGTAATTTCAATGCACACCTCTACCTTGCTGACATGCCAAGTTCCTTCAGGGATGACAAACTGCCAGGCACCAAAGCACTGTAACTTATTGGCCCTGTGAATGAGAGGAAGAGGTGGTGTGGAAAGAACATCCTGTTTTGCAGGACTCCAGTAACTCAATTGTTGTCGTCTCACATTATTTTTTTCTCGTTAGTACATCTGTTTAATCTTAAAATGCCCTTGATACTCCATGATTGACTTAGGTTGGGCAAGGAAGCTGGAGCATGGGGGAGGAGCTAATTGAATGAACTCCTCCTTTTCCCCAGTAGGTTTAACTGATAATAGCAGTAGCACACAACATCTTACTGGGACTTATAGACACTATCTTCTCTTTCCTGAAGACTCTTAAGAGGTATCTTGCTAATCCTGATGTTGTTCTAGCCTTCCTATTTGAATTGTGGTATTTCTATAAGTATTTATGTTTTGGTTTTGTTGTTGGTGGTGGTTTTTTACAGTGTCTGAAGGTCCATGATTTATTTCTTTTATGTCAATTCCAGTTCCATCTCCCTCCTCTCCTCCACTGCCCCCCCCACTGACCTGCTATCCTGTCCTCTTTCTGCTCCCCAGGGAGGGTGAGGCCTTCCATGGGGGATCTTCAAAGTCTGTCACATCATTTGGATCAGGGCCTAGACCCTACCCTCTGTATCTAGGCTGAGAGAGTATCCCTTTATGTGGAGTGGGCTTCCAAAGTCCATTCATGTACTAGGGATAAATACTGACCCACTATAAATACTGACCCCATAGATAAACCAGACCTCCAAACTGACATCCTTGTTCAGGGGGTCTGGAACAGTCCTACACTGGTTTCCAGATATCAGCCTGGGGTCCATGAGAAACCCCTTGTTAAGGTCAGCTGTTTCTGTGGGTTTCTCTAGCCTGGTCTTCACCCCTTTGCTCATCACTCCTCCCTCTCTATAGCTGAATTCCAGAGTTCAGCTCAGTGTTTATCTGTGGGTGTTTGCTTCTGCTTCCATCAGCTACTGGATGAAGGCTCTAGGATAGCATATTAGGTAGTCATCAATCTTATTATTGGAGAAGGGTATTTAAGGTAGCCTCTCCACTATTGCTTAGATTGTTACGTGGAGTCAACCTTGTAGATCTCTGGACATTTCCCTAGCCCCAGATTTCTCTTTAAACCTATAATGGCTCCCTCTATTATGGTATCTCTTATCTTGCTCTCCTCTATTCTTCCCCTGACTTGATCTTCCTGCACCCTCATGTCCTTCTCTCCCCTTCTTTTCTCCCTTTCTCTTTCTTCTAACTCCCTCTTCTCTCTCCCCATGCTCCCAATTACCTCAGGAGATCTTGTCCCTTTCCGCTTCTCTGGGGGACCATGTATGTATGTCTCTCACAAATGTTGCTGGCATAACTAGATGCTGGCATGTAGAAGACTACAGATACATTCATATCTATCACCATGCACAAAACTGAAGTCCAAGTTGATCAAAGACCTCAACATAAATCTATCCACACCGAACCTCTTAGAAGAGAAGGTAGGTGATACCCTGGAATGAATTGGTACAGGAGAATGCTTCCTGAACATAACACCAGTAGCACAGACACTGAGATTGATAAAAAAAAATGGGACCTCCTGAAACTGAGAAGCTTTTGTAAGGCAGAAGACAGAGTCAACAAAACAAAACAGCAGTCCACAAAATGGGAAAAGGTATTCAACAACCCCACATCTAATTTCCAAAATATAAAAGAACTCAAGAAGTTAGTCACCAAAACACCAAGTAATCCAATTAAAAAGTGGGGTACAGAACTAAATAGAGTATTCTCAGTAGAGGAATATAAAATGGCTGACAGACATATAAGAAAGTGCTCAACATCCTTAGCCATCAGGGAAATGCAAATCAAAACAACTCTGGATTACCATCTTACTCTTGGCAGAATGGGTAAAACCAAAAACACCAATGACAGTTTATGTTGGAGAGGATGTGGAGAAAGGGGAACATTTGTCCACTGCCGGTGAGAGTGCCAACTTGTGCAGACACTTAGGAGATCACTATGGAGATTCCTCAGGAAAATAGGAGTCAGTCTACAACAAGACCCAGTAATTCCACTCTTAGGCATATACCCAAAAGATGTACATTCATACAACAAGGACATCTGTTCAATCATGTTCATAGCAGCATTATTTGCAATAGCCAGAACATGGAAGCAACCTAGATGCCCCTTAACTGAAGAGTGGATAGAGAAAATGTGGTACATTTACCCAATGGAGTACTACTCAGCGGGAAAAAAATCAATGGCATCTTGAAATTCACAGGCAAATGGATGAAACTAGAAGAAACAATCCTGAGTGAGGTAACCCAGTCACAAAAAGACAAAAATGGTATGTACTCACTCATATATGGATTTTAGACATAGTGCAAAAGATTCCTGGCCTACAATCCACACTGCCAGAGAAATTAGGAAACAAGGAGGGCACCAAGAGAGGCAGGCATTTATGTTTTTAAAAGGTACTTACAGAGTTGGAGAACATCAGTCAATCCAGAGGCAAGTCTTCATTAACAGCAGTACTTGAAGTCTACAGATAGAGGACTTCATTAGCTGTTTGAGCACCTACTGTTTATCAAGTATGTATGACTAACTTTTCTTATATTCTCTACATAATCCCCACAAAAACAGTCTGAAAAATGACCCATTTCTTATATGTGGACACAAAGGCTCAAAGGACATAAGCAACTTGCTTGAGGCTATAAACCTAAACACAGATAATATTTGTTTGTTATTCATTTCATGTTAAGTATTCTAAAATCCCTTTTTCTTTTTTAATATAATGTAACTTTTTAAAATTGGCTATTTTAGCAATTTTAGATGTTTTAAATTTTAATAAGCTACACATTGCAAATATTGAATATATAATTTCAGATTCTTGAGCAGAAACCACATTACTATCAGCATCTCAAATATAAGAATTTGACAACTGCTGTCAGTAATTAATTGCTAATACTCAGTGTTTATTTTAAGATACAAATAGAGATAACCATTTTTGCCCATAAGGAATGGTGAAAAAAATCTGTTTCTTGTATGGGTCATGTAACCTATTTTGGTTGATTAGTCTTGTGCTTGTGACAACAGCTTGGCAAGTTGAGAGTGCTTATCTTTATAGCTGTTCAGTTGAAGTTGATTTTGACTTAAGAAATGAAAAGATTGGCAGAGTGCTGTCTTTGCATTGCTTGGATACTCATGAAACATGATTTTATTAAACACACAAGGAAAATGTCTTCAAGAAGACCTTGTTCTCAAGATCATTTGACAACTCTGTCCCAGGCTAAAATATTTTCGAATAAGGGGGGAACTGATTTACCTTGTTTGAGAAAGTAATGTGGATTTTAGTCACTTTAATAAAAACTTTAATGTAAATATTTGCCATTTTTTCTCTGTTTCATTTTGGACATATAATTCTCTCCTAAAACATTAGACTACTTGAATCCATTTGGTGCCAGCTTGCAAAAAATTTGCTAAAATTTTCAGTCTTCAAGCACTGTTGAAGATGTTTTGATATTGAACTTATGTCTTCCACTAATTTTTTAAAAAGTCTCTCTTTATTTAGGGGATTACTATATTTTGAGTTTATGTCATAAATTTTTAGAAGTATGCCAAGGTTGCCTTTTAGGTGGAAAAGCAATATCTTATCAGTATATGTTAGATGCGTTGTACAAAGGGGTACATTTTTAGAGTATAACCAGCAACAATTTGTATGATTTAGCTACAATTTCTTAGTCTGTTTGGACCTTGCTGTGCTATGTAAAAACACAAAGGAGGCAGTGAGGCTGAACTGAGTTTCAAACCCATAAAACTGGCTCTCATCAGTATGACTCACTTGGAGATAAAGGCATCCAGTGATTTACTTGAATCCATTTGGTGCCAGCCTGCAAAAGATTTGGGAAATTAGCAGTGTCCTCACTTTTTTGATGATGTGGTTAAAGAAAGGCTAATTCATGAAAAGGAGAAATCCTTTTCATTTGACATTGGACTTCTTCCTAGCTCAAACTCAAATGGCATTCCTAATAACAAAGCAGTGTGCTAGCAGACTGGAGGGATATTATGTGCCAGTAAGAATAGGCAACCATTTTGAACTTAGTAACTGTGAGGTGACTTGGAAAAATTTGAACCTATTAATGGTCTCATTTGACAGACTATCCCTTCTTGCTTAAAAAGGGAAAGTAATACCTAAAACATCAATAATTTCCCAAGCAGCTGTGCTTTGTAATGAACTTGCCAGTTTTCATTTTTACTCCATGAATGGTGTCTTGGCCTGCCTAGAATGTATGATTCAGAAATGTGTACGCTTATAATTATAAAGTACATTTTCTACCATCTTTTCTTTGAAGAAGTTTATAGCTTGAATATAATTAAAACATGGCAATAATAAAAATTCCAGGCCACACTGAGTTAACTACACACTAATCATCATGACATAAAGTGGTGTTTGTATCCTTAGGAAAGGGTTAAGGCTTGGGGAAGGTGACAATTCAGGTGGCATGTCTTTCTGTCATAGAGGAATGATACCACACATACGCTGAGACCTTCCCAGAGATGGAAGGATCAGAGAGCCATCAGTCCTTTACTCTTGACCTGGTGATTGCATTTGGCAGGTTATATCTGTAGTAATTACTTTTGTGTCCTCTCCAGCTAGCATCTCATTCAGAAAACCAAACCTACACAAATGGCTATTCTTGTCCTCCAAAGTTGCTTCATGGCTGAAACTTAAACGTGTTTCATCATCTCCTTAGAGATCCCTGTGATTGATCTTCTGGCTGCCAGTCTTCACAACCTAAATAGCATTTTAAAACTCTCCCTAATATCCTCTGAATAACAGTTGATCTCCAGGGAGGGTGATTCTGATTTTGAGTTCACTCCCACATAAAGAGCCAGCTTCTCCTTCTCCCTTTCACTCTCCCTCTCTCTCCCTACTCTCTTCTGACACATGGATTGGTTAGCTCATTTTACAACTTGGTTTCTGTTGGTGTGCTCATATTGTTCTTAGTTTAATAATAAACTTTGTTGTTGTTGCTCTTAGCATAATTTATAAATTACTTCCCAGAAACGCCCTTACTAAATGTCTGTGACCTTATTGTCAAGGAAGGCTTGACAAGCAGAAGCTGCTGCCTAGGGGCTGGAATGTCCCACTTCCTGTTCTTTCTCTCCAAGTTGGAGCAGTCTATCCAAACAAAAACTGAACTTGGTGCACGTGGGATCCAGAGTTAGCTTGAAAGGAAACTCTCCAAAGATGAAGAACTTTACACATTAAGTTAAGGTTTCACTCCATCCACTGAGACTACTAATACTACAAAGAGGGCCTTTTCAAAACAACCTAAATGAACAAATGGATGCCTCAAACTGTGGACTGAGAAAAACAAGCAAACAGCAGCCACGAACAACAGCAGATTAATTGCTGCTGGGCTTTTACAAAACAGTAGAAATGGAAAGCACTGAAGTGGTATTCGGTAATGACACTCCTACTCCTAACCCCTGCCTTCTAGACACCACTCAATCCTAGGAGGGTATTTGCAGGTGAAGGAAATCAGTGTCTGGACCAGAGTCAAGCATATTTATGGTAGGAGGGGTAGAATAATCCGGTACCACACTAACTACAACAACACACAGCACCAGTTCTCTGCTGTAAAAACCCAAGGACATACTGATGTTTTCCCATGTAGAAAAACATGGATCCAGTTTTTCTATCAATAATTTACTAAGCTATAACATGAACCCTACCAGAAAGTGACACAAAGCCAGAATGGAAAACTTGCTTACTTTCTTCTAGAAAAGCTAATCACTGAGACAGCTTTCCTTAAAACAATGGGGGAAAGGTATAGAAAACAGCACAAAACAAAAAAAACCTCTAGTTTTCAAAAGGGGGAAGTTGAGAAAAGAAGGGAGCAAGAGATGACTCTGATGGGTACTGCATTTCTCCTAGGCAACACCTCAGCAGGACTTTACTCAGGCTCATGTGGTGACCATCAGAACAACAAGCCACTCCTCTGATATGGTCTAGTCCAGCCTATTGGAGGGTGACTCTGTGGCATGTCTCCCCTAGGGCGGTCCCTAGACACAAGCATTCTTAAGGCGGCCTTCTCGGGACTGTTGCGTCTCAAAGTAGTGTCCAGTGGAACAAGTCCAGTCAGCCCAAATTTGCACTGGTTAATTTACATCTGGGGAGCTAGCCAAGGTTTACAAGAGCTGCAACTCACAAGGCCTGGCCTGCTCTGGTATGGAAATCCACTAAAATATCCCCAGATACCACCTGGGATGGATGAGGAATTACTTCCCATTTCACATCCTAAATACTTGTTCCCATGTAGAAGGTTACTAACTTGGTCTAAGTGTTTGCTGCAGAAGCTGGGGTCAGCTTTCAACCTACACAATTTATTTCTATGTCTCTAAGGCCACATTATTAAACAACCAGCATTACTCCATGCTGTCAGGGCATGGAGAGAGAGTACTCATGTGATAGTTCCTTTCTCCAGGCTCCAGCATTTCTATATATTGCAGAAGACCCTTGGATATACAATGAGGAAGGAATGGGAGCCTTGAATGAGGGATAAAAAGCACCTGCTTTATGGGTCTTGAGTCACTGTATATTAAGACTCTTACACAATGGAGTAATTAGCTCTCTTTCCCGTTGTTCCTCTGAAGGGGCAGAGAGGACTTTTCCTATCTTGTCTTCTCTTTCTCTCTCTCTATCTCCCCTCTCTCTTTTTTTCTCAATATATGTTTTTATTTAAATTAGAAACATGAATGCTTCACATGTCAATCCCAGCTCCCTCTCCTACCCCTCCTCCCTTGTCCCCCTACCAGACCCCAAACCAGTCCTCCCCCCAGTCCCCACATCATTCCCCAGGGAGGGTGAGGACCTCTTTGGGGGGGATCTCCAAAGTCTGTCATTTCATCCAGGGAAGGACCTAAGCCCTTCCCCATGTGTCCAGGCTGAGAAGAGCATCCCTCTATTTGGATTGGGCTTCCTAAGTTCATTCATACACCATGGTAAACACTGATCTACTACCCAAGGCTCCAGTGATTTCTGAGGCCTCCTCACTGACACTACATTCATGGAGTCTGGATCAGTCCCTTGTTGGCCTCTCACCCATCAGTCTGGGGTTCAAGAGCTCCCCCTTGTCCAGTCAGCTGTCTTGTTCCTCTCTCTCTCTTCTCTCCCCCATTCCCTTACCTTTCTCCCAATAAAACTTCCCACTTAAAAAAAAAAAAAAACAATGGAGTGATTAACTGTGGGATCCTCAGTTTACTAAACATTTAGAAAAAAATCATTGAAATCCTGGTCAAACCAAGAAAAAGAGGCCACCTTGTTGTACACCAGGCTTAATAGTGGAGGAACTTCATCTTTTGTATATAATACTTTTTTTCTTTTTTTATTATTTATTTTTAAATTTAAATTTAAATTAGAAATAAGGTTGCTTCACAAGTCAGTTCCAGGTCCCTCTCCGTTTCTCTCCCCTCCTCCCATGCCCTCCTCCTAGCCCCCCCATATCCCCTCTTTTCCCCAGGGAGGGTGAGGCTCTC